TTAACATTAACATTTTATAGAATATAAACTCAATTCAAGAGCCTAGGAAAAGATCGTGTTCTCAGCAAATGTGGGCCATGACTTTCTACTGGTCTTTTTTGTTAGTCTCCCCAAATAGACTTAAAGCTCATTGGCAAAAGAAACTTCATTATGTCCTCTGCATTATCCAGCTGTAGAGTGACACTGAAATTTTTATCCCCTCCTTCTTATCCCCTCCACAAAGCCACCACTGGTTTCTGAAGGGCAAGAAGGGAAATAGTGCAATGAAGTCCCCAGAAGGGGAGAAGCTGTTGAGAGGGGAGACAGCTTAAGTTGAGGGCAGTTTGCGAGCTTTCCTCAGCCTGGGGTCTTGAGTACGAAAAGGACCTGTTCTGTTGAAACACCCAGAGGCTGACCAGGACAGGGAGACTGAGTGCCTGCCACTGGCAGGAAGTCTCCAGGGCTGTGCTCACTAAGGAACCACAGGAGCCAGGTAAGGGAGGGACATCCGAGAAGAGATCCCTGTGTTCCCAATGCTGGTGTCCTTCTCCAAATGTTACAGACTTAGTAAAGCTGTCAGACCACTGTACAGCCTCTGGTGGAATTGGGGACAGGGGAAAAGCTCTAGCAACAACCGAAATTTAATTCCCACCAGCCTGACCAAGAAAAATGCTCCAAGAAAAATGAATGACATTTCCTGCAGCCTGTGTTATGGAATGAAATTCACACCCCTCACAGAACATAGAGGACTTCACACATCGAGAGGAAAGTGCTCAATAAATGTTTGAGGCTGATGTTGCTTCAAGGTGACAATGGGGAAGGAGATGGTGATGCAGAGGTGAGGGGAGAGAGGAAGCAGTGAGAAAACACCAAAACTGTAACTCTGCAGGTCGGATCATTCCGAGTAACCTCTGCAGCAGGTCTACCTTTCCCTGGCACATTGTGAGTTTCCTTTAGTGTTCACTCAAGAGAATCTAAACAGTTTTAATATTAGACTGAAGAAAACATGAGAACACATCTGATGGCAAAACATCATAGCCAAAGAGAAAAGACTAGAAATTGGAGCCTGTGTCTGGGTCCCGTCCCCGCTCCTTCTCCACCAGTGTTAGCAGCGAGGTCACCCCAGAGGTGCCAGCTAATTCTCTAACTCTTCATTCCCCTGGGGCCGCAAGGGGCATTAGAGTGCTGGGAGCCATGAACGAGCTCTCCCAAACCGGGAACCACAGTAGAGGCTAGCTCTGTGTTCTGTGAATAGTCCCCAAATTAAGCCCAAGAATCACCTCAAAGGGGTCCCACCTTCTCCCCTACAGTTCTTCACCACTTTCCCACTCCATCCAGGTGGGCTTTTGTCCCACAGAACCTCTGTGCCTTCCGGTCTCCCTGGATCTTTGAATGCCCTCTGTCTGGAACCCCGTGCCCCTTCTTATCAAAGTCTCAGCAATGTATCAAAGAGCAGCATAAGACCCTGATTTCTGGGAGGCTGTCTGCAACTGTTAAAGTCCAGAAAGAATGCCCCAGATGCCCCCAGCACCTGCTCTCTGTTCTAATGCCATGGGGATCAGCTGATCCAAACCCTCTGACATAGAGCATGCTTAAACAGTTACTATTTTATAGTAACTACTAAATAAAACCATAAGCTTCTTGCCCAAGACTGTGATATTCTTTGGATCTTCTGACCTGCACACAGTAGGTGTTTAGTATGTGCTTGTTCTCTGGCTAACTGGTTATGCCACACTGCAAAGGAGCACAGGTGAACAGGGTTAGGTTAGAGGCTGTGCTGGAGGCATACAGTGCCTGGGTAGGATTTGATATCAAACAACTGCCCCATACTCAATATTCCTTAGGAAACAAATGCTTGCTTCCATTGGTTACAACACCACTCTTTGGAAGCATGGTAGGATCAAGGCAAACCAATTCACCTAGGGCAGTGGTGGTGAACCTACAGCATGCATGCCGCAGTGGGCAGAAACAGCCCTCTTGGTCGGCACGCAAGCCAAGTGTATGAGTCATTTTCTCCAAACTAAAACCTCAGTGTTCAGGTTTAATTCCAGTGTTGGCATTTTGTGATAAATAAGTGCATTTTGGGCTGCCACTGACCTAGGCCCTTGCTTGCAAACATAGATATTTCTCAGCCATGCAAGAGAAAGCAGGTTGGATCTCAGAGCAGGGTATCCAACTGCAGCCTTCACTCTCCTAAACCATCCAGGCAGGTGAAGTCCTGTGGAACTGCCCCTAGACAGAGCTCTGATACCTCCTCTGTAAGGTCTGAATGTAGTTTCTTAAAGAATTCGCCCTGCAGGGAGCTCCTTCATGCTGGAGGCATAAAGTGAAGTGAACATGGGCCCTGCTTTCCCCAACCTTTCAAAGTCCACAGCACTTTTATTGTTTTGTTTTTTGTTTTTTGAGATGGGGTCTTGCTTTGTAGTTCAGGCTGGCCCTGAACTCACTATGTAGCCCAGGCTGGCCTTGAACTCGCAGCAATCCTCCTGCCTCAGCCTCCCGAGGACTGGGATTACAGGGGTGCACCACCACACCCAGCATCCACAGCACTTTTCTGACCAAGGCCTAGGAACAGTTTTTGGAAAGGGGAAGACAGCTGGCTCTAAAATGCACAGGAATACCTGGATAAAGTTGCTTTCAAACACCACTGAGTTGGAGAACAAGTTGAATTCTGGAAAATGAATCAGTTGAGAAAGAAGGCCGTCTCCCACCCCAAGTTCCACTCCAGAGCATGGTTCTCTGACCTCAGGAGGAAGGCCCCTAATTTGCTCATTGGTTCTTGGGAAGAATGGGCTGAGGAACATATGTGGCAGACCCAGCCGACTCCAAGGTGTTGGTGTGGCCGCTTGGCCCTCCTCCCCCACAGCTCCATCTACCCTCCTTACCGGCTGTCCACCGGGGCTGGGGGTACCTGTTGGCTCACAGTGGCAAGAATGACATCAAGGAGTATGATGGATAGCAGCAGGAAAGGGAAAAAAGAGGAGAGCAGGAAGGGGAGGGGATGTGCTGGACTCTCTCAATCCTCTTTCTACTGGCTACAAACCAGCAGTAAACTAGTCTATCCCTCGGGCCGGGGGTTTAGCTCAGTGGTTTTGCTGCCTGTTGTGCAAGCTCAAGGAACCAAGTTCGATCCCCGGTACCAAAAAATAAAAACAAACACAACAAATAAATTAGTCTATCCCATTTCCAACAATCTTACCTAAAGCAGGAGGAAAATGAACCCCCGCTCCAAGATTACAATAAGACAGCAATCCTCCAGCCAGGGCTGTAAGGAAGGTTCCGGGGAGCGTGCAGTCTTTAGTGAACCCTCACATAAAAACTTTCTCCGTGAGACAGGAAAGGTCAATGTTCCTCAATAGGTACTTTCTGTCTTTTTCTTTTTCTGTCTTTTTCTGCTACAGCTGCCCCAGGCACCTCACAGCAACCAGCCATGGCTACTTCAGATGCCCCATGGCTCCTCTGGGAGACATTTGCTTTGGCTGTAGCAAGCTTCCTTCACAGGTCCAGTCCAGCTGACCCTGCCCTCTGCAGCTGTCCTCAGTCTGGCCTTGAGGAGCCTACTCCTATCTGTAACTAAGAAAGTCTGAAGTTAGCTAGCGGGACACTGCATATGCATGAGCCTGCCTATTGCTTCTACATAAGCAACTCCCCTGTATACTTAGCTGCTCAGTCTGTGCTGTGCATAAGCATAAGTCCTAATAAAATCTCTTTCAGATGGTGTATTTATACCTATTCATGATTTCTTTCTTGATTAGAGCAGGCTGAGCTGGTATGCAAAGAGCTGATAACATCAAAGGCTGCTGGCATGGAAAGCAGCCAGCAGCCAGAGCTGGTAATCTTGAAGGTGGCTTGCAGCCAGAGGAGTATGGAGAGCAATGGAGAGCTGCCAGGACTGCCATCTCCAGGCTCCAGAAGAGCTCCTTTGGGCTGCTGGTAGCTGTTGGCTCTGGCTGCCACAAGAGTGCAGAGGGCCACTAACACTAAGAGCTGATAGTTACTGGGATTCAAAAATCAGGGCTGTTAACACTAAAAGAGCTACAGTTTGCCTGTGATTTCTATCTGAATTGAGCAAAAGAACCCTCAGCCCTTTGGTAACACAATGCAAATTGATCACCAA